GCTCACCACCACAGTTTTCACTCCTTTAACATAAGTTGTTCACTAAATGGCAGGCAAATGTGTGCTCTTCCTGGCGGTCTAACTATGGAAGCAAACATTCACAGAAAATGTGACTCCTCAGTATGAGGCAGGTGGTCATTATGTTATGTCTGATTGGTGTACTGTATATAAAAAGCTGCCGGGAGGACATGGAAATTGCGCTGATTAGATTAGCTGTTAAGAGTGAACAGGAACAGCAAAGTTGCAGGCCAGAAAATAAAAACAGCAGGTTTATAAAGCTTCATATAGCTGAGCATGACTGCAGAGACAAGTGGTGGGTGATTCTCACCATGAATAACCCCTTTCACATTAGGCTACACATGATGATTTGAGCCATTATTATTACAAAAGCACTAATTATAGCTGCTTTAAAGGCTGCGGCAAGTTTTCTCATTGAGCTATGTCTGTAAAGAATAATGTGCCTCTTGAATAAATCAGTACAATTCAACCAAGGTGACCCTGCCTTTCACAGTATCTTCATACACGTTTGAAGCATACTTCTCAACAGAAAACCTTCATTGCACTACATACAGTATGCTATGTTACCAAGATACATCAGTTGTCCATGTCATTTATTTGCATTTTACAGTAAATATGGAAGCAAAATCATCATCTTATGTGGGTGAAATATATCAGATGTATGCTTTCATTTGCACATCAGATTTAATAAGACGGATAAATAACTTCACCATTACATTAGGTAACACTGGTGCTTCCTGGAAAACAGCCTATGACACAGTTGTTGAAAGTGATCCTGTGTTTACCTGAGATCTTTATTCAAGCACTGATTTGAAGTAGGAACTAACACATCAGCACTTTCTGCAATTCTGCTCAGTCACACTTGTGCAGTACAAATTAGTGGTTTCAAGAGCGTGTGGAGAGAGAAAGTAATAACAGTCAAGCCATGAAGGCACATGCGGAGACCCAAAGCTTTTAACAAGGTGCATATCACTGAGGGTAACCAATGAAGGCGGTGAGAATGGCAGGCTTCCTTGGTTGCCGAGCTGTAAGAAGATTACTTACCAGGGGCCACAACATCTCATCCCCCAAATCCCTCTTTAACACTAAGCAGCCTGCAGCAAATACAGATCTCATGGTCCTTGTTGCCACCCAATCCTGGCACTGTGCTTCATCCTGTGTGTCAGGATATAATCAAGACAACATAAAACACAAAAGACGGTACAGACACAGACAGCTAAACAAAGAGAGAGCTCTAAAAAGCCTGGGGGTACTTGGAAGATTATATACAGTGGGTACAGAAAGTATTCAGACCCCCTTAAATTTTTCACTCTGTTATATTGCAGCCATATGCTAAAATCATTTAAGTTCATTTTTTTCCTCATTAATGTACACACAGCACCCCATATTGACAGAAAAACACAGAATTTGACATTTGTGCAGATTTATTAAAAAAGAAAAACTGAAATATCACATGGTCATAAGTATTCAGACCCTTTGCT